TCTCTGTGCCCAGGGTGATGTGACCCCTTTTGTGGGTATTTATAGAGATCTGGGGGGGGGTGTGGGGGGGTGTGGGGTACTGAGTGGCTGGTTGTTTTTGGGTCAGCATCTGTGTGTATCTTCCTGGGGATTAGGCAGGGGTTTTTCTTCTATTTAATTGTTAACGAGGGGCTGCTGGGGGTGATTAGCAAGTTCATTGTGTGAACTGTTCACATGTCCTGGTGGTGCTGGCGAACGTTAGGAAACAAAACTTCCAGAACACGGCCACACAGCCCGGAAGATCCACACCAGTCTTCCCCGAAGGCATTCTTCCCAGTAATAAAACAAAAGGTTCTGCTGCTTACCATCCAAAGAAAGGGTAATTATTTGAACATTATTTGTGGCCCGTTAATTTAAATGTTCAGTTTGTAAATTGGTAACTGTCACTGAGACGTCTCCCTTTCTTTTCAGGACTTAATTCTAGCTTCATGAGACATGACAATAATTCTCTTCAGTGCTTCCAAACCCTCATCAAATTTAAGAGCTTGAACTTTATGATTTTAAGATCTTTAAGATTTTAAGGTGATTTTAAAATCCCAGATATGCCAGTTTCCAATCTTGTAAATTCATTTTTTTAGAAATGGACTGAAGTTTGACTGTACAGTTGGAAATGATGGTTAAAGATTCACTGTTGCTATATGCTAGAAACCCCACATTTATAGCAGAAAAACTTAAATTGGGGTTACTACAGTGAGAACAACTGGAATACTCTCCAAAATATATTAACTAGAAATACTGGGAATCTGGAGGAAAAAAAATGAAAAGTTACAAACTTATCAATTGGAACAAAAAAGAGAATGAAATTGTATATCTGGAATTTAAGTCAATAATGGACAGTTATTTACTGAGACAGAATACAATCACCAATTTTATAGTTTTTATACTCACTTATACTGTACAGTATCAACCAAGGACTTCTGTAGGTAAACAGCAAATTATACATTTCCTGAGAAATGTTAAAATGGAAAAGATATCTCAGTAAGATAAAAATAAATTGGCACAACTATTGACATTACAAGAAGTCACAAAGATGTTGCTATCAATGAAATCAGGGAAGTAAATTTTATAGACTTATTGGCCACTATATTGTTGGAGGTCTATAATCAATCATTTAATTTTTCTATATTTCCTTTATCATTTTAACCCTTATATTACAGTAATATTTAAGCTCGAGAGACACCCTCACAAGAGGTACAAGATATAGAGCAAGATATTTGCATAATGTGGATACTAAAATATTAATGGCAACACCAACCAGGAGGCTACAGAAGTAATACCTTCTATAATTCATCCAATTCGACTGATTAAAACAGATAAGCATCTGGTAGTATCTGCCTAGTGACTGACATTATGGATACCACAGCAAATAAACTGTAGTCAACTGTTCTAATTTCACTGAACGCTGAAGAGGCCTTTGATTTCCCTCAAACTGAATATATGAAGTGCGTTCTAAAAAGATATACTATGTCTCTGCTATCTGTTGTTCACTGCATCTCCTCCCAGTGACTAGAATTATTACCATGGATTGTCTCTCAACCTATCAAGTCGTATTGTGGCACCCCGCAAGGATGTCCCTCTACATTCTTAATCTTAAATTAGATTCGTGAACCATTGGCTTCTTCCATTAGACAGTCTCAAGATATTAAGGGTGTGGTGGCCTTCAACACTGAATGTCATTTTTTGTTATGCACTGATAAACTTATGGCTCTTCTTGATATTTATATAGCGTCATTACTAAAGCTTGTTGAAGTCTTACATCAGTGTGGCTTATATTCTGGTTATATCATTAACTGGAACAAGTCTAATTTGGTGTGATCGGGATCTACTATATCTATAGATTACTTTAAGAATAATCTATAGATACTGTATATAGATTTACAGTTTGTACAGACTCTATAAAATCTATTAAATATTTCTCAGAATAGATCACAATAAATTGAATTAAATACATCTAAATATATAGATGCAATTTCAGTAGATATAACTTAATAACTCCCATTAAATCTTTGGGGCAAGATTAATGTTATCCAGATGAATACTACATCAAAATTAATATATATTCTAAAAGGAATTTCAATGTTAATTCCTCTTAGATATTTTACACCAATAGGTAAGTTAATGGCAACCTTTTTGTGGCAGGTTAAATCTCCTCAGATTTCCTTGGCCAAACCAAGGTTACCTTATGATAACTGTGGCTTCAACTTACCAGATTTCCAACTCTATCCTTGGACCTTTATGTTAACATCTCTCTCTATGTTTTTGGATCAAGACTTTTTATGATTGTTCCCTTCTTTGGGCTGATTTGGAGAATCAGTGTGTAACACCTCTGAAATCCTGGTAAGTTTTAGGATCCAGGTATACTCCAGGGATCTTAATTTCCAGCCTTGAGAGCTGCAAGATTGATTTGGTTATTGTTAAGGACAGTGAGCGGTTATGTTTTGATCCTGAATCACATGAGAAATTGGTATTGTGGAGGAACCCAAATTGGGAAACAGAGAGGAAGATATTTTACTGGAATGCTTGGGCTAAAAAAGGAATTAACATGTTAGATCAATTGATCTTTAATGGTTGTTTTAAAGACATTGGGAAACTGCATATTGAATACGACATCTACAATATTTGTTTGACAATGTATACAACTGAAACTTTTATTAAATAAAACAAATTAATTAAACAAATACAAATTAATTTATAAGGAATTAACAAAGTAAAACAAAAGTTAGTATCAGTTACATGTCAGTTGTGGAATGAATAATTGGAACATCAAATTTTGGAGAATGAGAGGATCCAGGTGTAAAGCAATGTGAAATATATGAATGTAATGTGAATATGAATATGAAGCAATGTGACATATATTAATTAAATATATTAATGATGTGGAGTCATTGGGGTTCAATCCCAAAGTTCAACCCTGAGCTACACATATTCACTTCTATTGATATATTAATGATTTAAAATTCATCAAAAATAGTGTCTGTTGGACCCATCAAGGAATGCTGAAAGAAGGATGGACATTAGATTTTCTAAGTTGGCATTATAAGAAATTTGAAGGTTTTTTTTTAAACTCATGTGATTTGGTCTTGACTGACTGTAGCCTTGTTTTGGTTTCAAATCACTACATATGTTAACATAATTTGGGGAAGAAATATTAAGGATCTTAATGTGATGTAATATTCCTAAAATATAGAATTAGTCATCTCATCAAGAGCTTTGGCTCTACTGAGCCTGGAGTATGGGCAAAGAGGATAATTTTACATATTGGGAAAGAAACTTACTCTCCTGCTTTTAAAAAATGGATCCAGAATACTGGTTTGTTACCTATTTTTGAAAAGTCTCTTTGTTCTAAAAATGAACAGTTGACCCAATAGCTCTCTATGTGGACTAGATTTAATAATCAGCTTAAGGAATGAATTAATGTTATATTGTCATCTATAGTTATTATATGGATAGTTTTTTGTTAGCTTTCTTTTTTTTGGTCACATTTTGTTTATTTTAATCATGGCAGTATATTTGGATTTTCATTCTTTTCTTTCTTTACTATGTAATCACTATTACTGTTGTGCTGCTGGTTCTGTAGTTTTTTGTATTTCACTATGAAAAAATAAAATCATCATCATCATCATCATCAGTCATTTGGTGTGAGTACATATAATAAGCTCTCCAAATCCTAAATCTGCCCTCCAACCAAAAGAAACTAGGGGCCTGTCATAGGCTCATGCAAATTGACAATTCTTTCCCAGCCAAGGAGCACGTAACCAAACAAGGGAGCTGACTGGAATCTGCTTTGGCAGTTCAACAAGGAGCTTCAGATTTTGGTCAGAAATCTGAATGAATGGATTTGGCAGTCTTGCAGAGAGCCCAAGGCATACAAGAAGTGAAGGAGCAAGTAGACGAGAAGATGTGGATGACGCCTTCTCAAAGCAAATTGCAGAAATTTCAAAGAGATACATAGTGATGGGGGACCTTAATTACCCCAACATCTGTTGCTATCAGACCAGCAGCTGCACCCATATTGAAAAGGCCAATGGAGTCCATATTGCTCACAGTGTATAGAGCTGCAAGAAATTGGTCTATAAAGTTGGAGAATAAGAACTAAATCTAGTTTCTAGAACCTTATTACTACTGAAGACTTTTGTCCAAATTATTATGGACCATTTTTCAAAATTCTGATTTTTTATTTTTCTTTGTCCAGTTAAACCTCAGATGTCTTTCACCACTGGATGTAAGGTGAAAACAGTAGTAGTTAACTGCTGGACATATGTATCCTAGCTAAAGAGACAATTTAATGTATACAGTATAAGGATGCAATCCTATGTAAATGTATAGAATTTATTTTCAAGCAAACGTGCGTAAAGTTGAACTATGAAGCTGATATGTTTAATGGAGCAGCCCTTACCTTCCTCCCCCTCCCCCTCCCCCCCTCTCTTTTTAAACAGGAAAGGCTCCTAAAGGAGACACTTGCTACACAACAAGCAAAACCAAGTTAGAACAAGTGTCATGTGAGACAAGTTATACCCAAATAGGTTTGGTAAGCAATTAATCTTATCAATTACATACTTGACCAACTATAAGTGCTTTTTAAGCTAGTCCACTGTATGTTCTGCAAGTCTTCATGAGTACAAAATAATGCAAATTATATGTCTCTTAGAGAAACCAACTCAAACAAATTTTTTTTAAAAAAAACCCACACTGCTTTTCCACCAAATTCAGCTTTCAAGGCAGTTGTATTTGTAAACATGTTAATATAATATTAACTAGAATTCATTAGAACTTATTAATTAAAACACATACATTAGAAGTAATGGCACTCATTAAATAAAACCCTCCTTCAGCAAAAAGCTGAAAGTCTGTAAAAACAGGTTTAAGGTTGAAAATATTTGGTTTATTGTTACAGTCTCTACCAGAGCCTAAAACTATAGTCCAAAGACAGTGGGAAGTACCTACTATAATTTCCCAAGAAAATACGTCTCTAACTCACAAGTTCAAGAAAGGAAATCTGGGGCTGGCAAATTCTAAGGACTGGCATCAGCAGGTGAGATCAGTGCTAAAGACTGAGTTTAAGCTACTCTCCCACCCAACCGAATATTCCTCAAGTGAGAAACATCCACGAAACTCGTGGTTTTCATGTGGTGGCTTCCCTGTTCTCCGCAAATGCACGATTTCAATTTAGAGAAATCTGTGTCAGTGTGAACCAAGTTCCTCCCTTCTGCATCTAAAAATGATTTCTGCTTAGATATTCTCATTCACTGACTTCTTAAATTAAGGCACGAGACATAGATGTTGTAATTATTTCAGTTGAGTTATTACTGGGGAAGGTGACCATTTTCATCCCACAATAATTTTCATATATTTTTCAAACAGTTTGGAGTGTGTCTTTGTTGAATGACAATTATTGCAGATGGATCCGGAAGACTAGGATTTTTTTTTATCTACATGGATTCAGCTTCATTGTTGTCTTTGGTATGGAATTCAGCTAAAAAATTATTTCAGGTCATATTATGGTGCGCTCGTCTCATAAAAAGAAACAGCTGTTTGTTAAATGCAAGCAGAAAAAGTCTAGTCATATTTGACTCTATATGCACCCCGTCAGCTTTCCAGGGATGCGGCTGTTTGGCCTCTGCTGAATGTGAGTCAAACCAGTTGTGTGCCCCGGAAACAGAGCTGCTATCACCTTGCCCAGCGAGGCAGTAATCTGGAAAAAAAGGGAGACAAACCTGTAAGCCGGGTGTTATTATCAGCGACACGTTATCGCCTTGATTAAAGTGTGCCGTAGTGAATGTCAGGGTGGCCTGCTTTCTCTTCTTATCTTTAATTTGGGTTTATAACCGTTAGCTTGCGTTTCCAGAAGTTCAGAACACACTCAAGGGACACTCTGGGGAGGCAGAGTAGAAACTTCAGTTTGGGGACTGGATGCTTTGTAGCTCAGCCACTTGCATGCTGAGTCTGGTCTGACTGAAATATACGTGTGATATCCTATCTGATTACTCTCTAAAACGGAATAAGTCAGACTTGATGTCACTGAATTATAACAATAATGCTGACAGATCTAAACCCTGGGATTTTAGGTTATGTTCTGATTCCTTTGTTTACCTTAGTATAAGGATTTCAGGCAGCCTTCTCAACCAGTAAATATGAATTTACTTCCAATTTTGAAACGTATGAAAGAAAGTATAGATAGCTGGTCTTAGGTGTTTGCAGTATTGAAGATATTTAAGATATCTTCCTTTTTTCTTTTAACCCTTTTCCAGTGGATTCATATTACAAGTTTTTCTGGCAGGGCTCTCAAGATTTTTACTGCATAAACCACAATTACCTGTTGGGAAAGGTGGTTTTAATTTCCCGTGCTTCCTGGTTTAAGCCTTTATTTTAATTTTGCTTCTGAGTTCTAATAGGGAAATTCAGATCTTCATCTTGAAAGTTGTTATGTGACTCCATTAAAATCATAGCAAGGATTCCTTTCCTTGTTTGTTTAGGCATCAATTGCACTTAATGCTACAAGATTTATATGGAAAATATTGATTCAGAGATATACCTTTCATTCTTTTAGCCATGAAAAGTTTACATTATGGGATAATCCAAATGAAGCATAGCTGGTAAATCTGGCTTTGCAGGTAGGTTAGGCCTCTCACAACATAAATAGTTTCAATCAACATTGTTCTGATGTGCTGGTTTTTAAAATATTTATAGAACTGAAGGCAGAATTCACTTTACCTGCTTCTTGGAACTTTATTCAGTTTAAGCGTGTGGTTTTTGGATTGTCCTGTTGTACCGCTGAAGTCCACAGATGCTAGAAGTTTGGAAGAACCAGCAGAGATTCCTAAACCAGTAATCCATTTTTACAACAAACTGAAGGAAACATTTGAAATTGACTTTATCTATTTGATAGGCATTTTGGAATAATGAATTTGAACATTGTAGTTTTGCGAACAGTGGAATATTGCCTTAAGAATGTGTTGTTGTTGTTGTTTAATGCTAAAGTTAGGTTATTACACCCTAGACAAGGTGTCATGGGCTTTGGGTGCAATCGTCTTGCCGTTCGGTTATGTCCCCTGAGTGTGGGATCCAGCAAGACCGCCAGGTCAGGGGCTCTTTTGCACATCGGAGGTGGCCCAAGGAATTCTTGCGTGACGTTGGAAGGAGAAACTTTTTCCTGACTCGCAGCGATGAAGCAGCCGATTTGTTTCGTTTTGTTTTGTTTCTGACCAAGGGCCAAAGAAGAATCTGGTCGATTTTCCAAGAGTACTTTTGTGCCTGAGATAACTTTCCCTGTTCTCTTTTTCTTGCTTTGTAAATGTTGATGTGATGTCATTAGTTGGCTCCTTTCATTTGATGCTTTCAAGCAGGCGCCAGCCACCCTAGAGTTGGGATATTAATTTGGATCCTCCGTTTCCACCCATGTCCGGGTTCTTACGCTAAAAGCTTTGAACTGGACTTACTATTGGGAATGAGAAAGAGTAATTAGACATAAAGACCCCTACTACACATTTAGGCGCGGCACCAAGCTGCCATAGCTGCACTAGGCGCAGCAGTCACGAGGGCATCATTTTTCCATGCTCACTTTGCAATTGTTCTCCAGCCATCCCAGGTAGAAGGGCTTTCCCAGTCTCAGTTGCCGCCGCAGGAGAGCAGCCGTCATGGACCCAGCAAAGTTTTCCGACAGGTATTTGCACAGGAATGTTTGTAACGGAAGATGCCTGGGACGGTTCCACCCTGACTGATTGTTTAAAGAGTTAGTCCCCTCAGAAGCAGAGGTATTATTAGAAGGTAGCAAATTATTTTGTTTATTATTATATTTTTATCACATGGAATCAGAGAAGGAACTGAGGTATTGCGTATCAATTCTGAACCCCAAAATACTGTAATATATATAATTCTATATTATATATACCTATGTTATACTGTATAATATCCATTCTACATGTGTGTATATAGTGTTTCAAAAGAGTACACAAAAAGGCCAACTAATAAACAATAACAAACCAATGAAATAAAAAGGAAAAGAAAATTATATACAATCTAAGCATATCACATACTGTATATATCAAGTATTAAACATTGCATGAAAATTTATAATTTAAAAGAAAAAAAATAAGCCCTATTGTTGTAAAATATCATGAAATCTATGCAAAAGAGCATAGTATCTGTATCATTTTTTGACTGGGAGAGAAGATTACCTTTTGGAAAATGGACAAATAGATGCATAATCTCATGAATCCAATCTTTAATATCCATACTACTACTATGTTGGAATTTCCCAAGATAACCCTCTGTCAGCCCTTTGAGGTAGTCCAGAGAGGGACCCAAACCACGAGTACTAACGCTACGTTTATTGTAAGGTTACGGTAGCAGAATCCGGCCAGTCCAAAAGCCCTTCTCCCCACCCCCAACCCCCAGCAGCCTTTACTTTCCAGAGAACTAGGGAGGGTCCCTTCAGGGACGCTCTCTCCACCCCATTCCTTCCGTGGGCTGAGATTTCTCTTGTCTGACCGCTGCCCTGGCTGCAGCTCTTCCTCCTGTCTCCCAAGGTCATCCTCACAGCCCATTACACTCTCTTAGCAATTCCCCATGCCTAATGTATCCAAAGTTCCTCAAAAGAGGTCAGACTCCACATTTTTGGAATGTTATTCAATGCAACATTATCTTCTTTAACATTAACAGATTTCCCCCAAATCTATCTATACATATTAAAATAGTGCTCTGGTGATTCAGAAGACCAAATCATCTGAGTCAACGAGCCTCCTTGGAGTTAAACTTGGCCCTAGGTGCCTCCATGCTGTTTTCCTGGTAGCATTTCAGACATGTTTTATCTCAGTCTTCTTCCCTGGCTTTCTGGATACTTTCTCAATTTCCCAGTCCAGCCTCCAGCCCTGGTGGTCTCCCCTCCAAGGACTAAACAGGCAATCCAGGACCTTCCAGACTCTGACCAACTGCGGGAGCCCATAACCTTGAGTCCCGTGATCAGCTGTACCCAAGGGTGCATCCAACATCCAGGAGCTGGATGAGGGAAGGAAACTCTGTGCGTGAGAAGAAGACCTGTTGTTGCAGATGTCTTCTCCTCTATCTCCTGAGACATCCACGGGAAGTCTGCTTCCATGCCTGTGCTCCTCCTAGTTGAGTTAGGGTGAAATTCTGATGGAAGGGGCAGTAGCCAAGATCTGAAGACCTGCACAATTAAAAGAGCTATTCCAAATATGACAAAATATTTCAGGAGAGGGATAGTGTCCTTCCACATACAGGTAGTCCTTGGTTAACAACCCCTCATTCAGTGACCGTTCAAAGTTACGACAACACTGAACAAGTGGTACTTACAATCATTCCTCGAAGTTCCAGCCATCTAGCACCCCCACATCATGTGATTGCAATCTGGGTGCTTAGCAACTGGCTCACACTTACGATGGTTGCAGCGTTCCTTGGTCACATGATCACTATTTGCGAACTTCACTGCTGGCTTCCCACAAGCACAAGTCCCTGTGAGTCATGCCCGCTCCCATCGCTTTTTCTCCCGAGGAGCCCGGATACAGAGAATGGGGTCCTGGGGATCTCATACTCTGTAGCGTGCACCCACCCATGGCAAACTCTCTGCCCGCACTCCACGCGTGCCCTCCCGCACTCCACAACAGCCACCCCAGCCTGGCTGTGCTGGTGCAGCACCCCCTGCCCTGCCCACCCACACTCAATGGCACAGCAGCACCCGCTCCCCCGCCCACCTGGCTCCCCCACCCACTGGCCTGCTTGTGAGCCGCCCAGGACTTGCGACTGCCTGCCAGCTTCCCCGTTGACTTTGCTTGTTGGAAGCTGGCAGGAAGTCACAAGTCACAGTTACGTGAGGTCCTCGCTTAATGATGGCAATGGGGCTGCTGGGATTGCCATCACTAAGTGATGTGGCCATGCGACATTGCACTTTATGACTGCATCACTTAGCGACAAAATTCTGGTCCCAATTGCCATCATTACCCGAGGACTACCTGTAATGCAGTCATACTACAAAGGTAAACTTCGCATCAGAAAAGAAAGATAGCCAATTATTTCCTAAACAATATATGATTACAATTTCAAAAGCACTGCTCTAGCATTTACCAAGCCAGTCCTTCTTTTTTTTCTTTTGAAAAAGCAACGTTGAAAGGCACAGTTGTTTTATCTGCTTATTTGGAATAAAACATTTTTAAGAGTAAGAAAGAAAATCATTTCCTGACCACTATTCTTTTTTTTTTTTTAAGGAATTCCTGAATGCCTTAAAAATAGGGTTTCATGAAGTTACCATGGAGGTTGTTATGAATGGGGAGAGGGGGAAGGCCCGTGGGCCCCCTCCCGCCTCATGTCTTGAATTCTCTAAGCCTTCTGGGAAATTCAGAGGAGGGGAAGGGCCTCTTGGGTGCCCTTCACCTTCCCTTCCAGCATCTGGAGGCATTTTGGAGGAGCTACGGGGAGTCAGAAGGAACGGTCGGCTGCGGGGACCACAGAAAACGGGCTGGCCTCTTGACAAGAAAACCTCTTGAATGATTTTCTAATGGTTTCATTAATTATGCTTCTATAAAAACGTGCATAAAATACACTGTGAAATCTGACTGTTGGAATTAACTTTACATTTTCCTCCTCAGAAATTAAGTAGCAGCATCAGCGCCCTCCCTCACTTGGAACGCCAGGCCAAACCGAGTTTGGTGGCAACCGCTTTGAAGCCTCCCCAGCAAGATGCTCTTTTCCCCCAAATAGCCACGAAGAACTTGCAGAACATGCCGAGTCTACATCTGGTAAGCTTCCGCGCCTCGCATCTCCTTGTTGCGGCGAGACCCTAAAAGTGGGGGAATAGGGAATACGTGCCGGTATAGATCAGCGTGGCAGAAATCTTCAGACTCTTAAAAGGGGCAAAGGGAGTTTTCAGAAACGCCTGAGCGCTTCGTCAAGCGAAGCTTCCACGGACCTCCCTGAGGGGTTGAAGGTGCCTGAAAAGCAGGGAAAGCCTCTTGTCCAGCAGGGGAAGGAGGGGAGGTTGGAGAGGACTCAAGGGAAGCCTTCACCGGAGCAGCCTTCAGCAGGTCAGCGCCCACCCTGGAAAGTAAAATCAAGAACGATCCGCTGACAAGCAGCTCTTGCATCAGGAAGAAAATGGATGGACTTTCAAGGGCCCAAAGCTGACCTTCGGACAGAGGCCGATGACCTCCAGTCCCCAAGGCCCCCGGAGCCTGAACGTGCGGAGCATGAAAGAATCTGCTGGGGCCCCGTCTCCTTGGGTCCTGTACGGCGAAGCCAGGCTGACTGCAGGAGGAACGAGGGCACCACTCCTCACAGCAAGGAAACCAAACAAGAGGAGCCTAAGGCCTCCTTAAACAGCATCAGAGGTGAGAGCGGAAGCACAGCGGGCAAATGCAGCACTTCTGCCCCACAGAGCGATGGCGGTTGAGCACAGACAGCGGCAGTGGAGGAGGCCTGGGGTCCGTGATGGCTCCGTCCCAGCGAAGGCACGGAACGGCATGGCACGGCACGGCATGGCTCGGCCTCTTCCTCTTCCTCTTCCTCCTCCTCCTCCTCCTCCTCCTCCTGCTGCTGCTGTGCTAGGAGCAACACTTGCCCTGGGACAGCCTCCGTTGCAGAAGTGCAACAAAAGCAAAACCACAAATGAAGAGCTCACCAGCGCATTTCATAACCTGGAAATGCTTCCCCTTTTTCCTTGGAGTGCGTTTAGATGCGAAAGTTGGTTTGTTAATTATTTTAGAGTAAACGAATACCCTGTTGAGATGCCTGAAAAAAGGTTCCTTTTAGAAACCTGAAGGAAGAGCGAGAAGAAATGGGCATCGTCCACAGGGACAGGTTGTGGTTTGAGGAAGGAAGGTGAGGTCGAGCTGGCTCCCAGCGTGAAACCCCGCCCCTGCCCCCCACCCCATCTCTGTCTGTCACAAGGAACCCGATTCTTGGTTGGCTTTATTACACAGGGGAACCTGGGTCAGCAGGAGAAACGGGTTGCACCAGGTGGCTCCAGACAGCCACAGAGCTCTGGTCCCTTTTGGGCCATTCAGAAGACCTAAAGAAAGTGCAAGTGGGAGGGTGAAGGAGAAGCAGGGTGTGAACTCTAAAAATACAGAAGTCCACTTTTAATTCCTGACTTTTTGTCCAACATCAATTTTGCAAAAAACCAGAGGAGACCCAGCAATGCACAATTATTTATTTTGATGCTATGTTTTTATCCTGTTTACATTTTCACAACGTAAAGCACTGAAAGTTGGTTTTGAGCCTGCCAGAATAATAAATAAATAAATAAATAAATAATAGAAATAATAAAGTCACTTTAAAAAAAAAAAGAAACAAAACTCTTGCAACTTTACAGGATAACCGATCTCAGGTCCAGCCGTTTCCTCCCACTCTCTCTGAAACCATCCCCAGAGGGCTGAGCAGTAAATCAGACATGGAGAAGACTCACAGTGTCAAGCTCCCACTAACTTCAGCAGGTACAGTAGAAGGGTATGGGCTAAAGGAAACTTAGCAGGGAAACTGTTCAGTTTCTGCACCACCTTTCCTTCCAAATGAAATGATTATAATACGTCACAGGAAACAAGGAAAATATCGTTTAAAAACACATATAAATATTGAGGTCCTCATTCAGAGGCCTGGCTGAAGAGGGGAGTCATATCTCCTTTCTCAAAAGCCTAATCTAGGGGAAGTTTCCTTGGCTTGTCCTACAGAACCAGCCATTGGGCTTCCAAAAGTATCCTGAGGGCCTCTAATGGGATCCTAATGTTAAGAAAACTAAGCAGAGAGACAGAACTTTTGATCATCAGACCTTTTAGGATCTTGAAGGTTAGAACCAACAACTTTAATGATGCCCCCAAAGTTTCTGACAACCAATGTAGTTCTTTAAACGTGGGACAAAATCACCCTGTCTTCATGTATGGCCTAATGCTGTAGTGGTTGCATTTTGCATCAAATGAAGTTTCCAGATTTTCTTCAGAGTAGCCTGACTATCATATAACCAGGGCAAGCAGTCAAATCTGACTGCTAAGATTTTATTGCGACTAACCTGTTAGGTATAATTGTGTAAACGCATTATTTGTCACTGCCCCCCACCTAGAGATTCAGCAACTACTATGAGTCATGCAACCACCCCAGACTGGACACTTTTATGAGGAGGCCAGTCCCATCCAGAAAAGACTAAAGTCCAGTTTATTTATTTTTATTTATTTAGCCCATCTCCCCACAATGGGGGACTCTGGGTGGTTTACATCAAATTAAAACCATAAATACA